CCACTTTTAGTTGACCAATTTTGTGAGAGATGATCACTCCAAACCTTCTTCCAGGTAGAACATGGTTAACTTATGGTAGATGTGGGTCAATGTGGTAGAATATGGTTAACTTATGGTAGATGTGGGTTAACGCGGTAGAACATGGCTAACTTAAGGTAGACGTGGGTTAACGTGGTAGAACATGGCTAACTTAGGGTAGATGTGGGTTAACGTGGTAGAACATGGTTAACTTCGGGCAGATGTGGGTTAACGTGGTAGAACATGGCTAACCTAGGGTAGATGTGGGTTAACGTGGTAGAACATGGTTAACGTAGGGTAGATGTGGGTTAACGTGGTAGAACATGGTTAACTTATGGTGGATGCTGGTCAACGTGGTAGAACATGGTTAACTTAGGGTACACGTGGGTTAACGTGGTAGAACATGGTTAACTTAGGGTACATGTGGGTTAACGTGGTAGAACATGGTTAACTTAGGGTAGATGTGGGTTAACGAGGTAGAATATGGCTAATTTAGGGTAGGTGTGGCTTAAAGTGGTAGCACATGGTTAACTTAGGGCAGATGTGGGTTAACGTGGTAAAACATGCCTAACTAGGACATATTGTAAGTCTTACATGAAGCTTAAAGCATATCAGTTGGCTTGTTAGCTCAATTGGTAGAGCGCTGCACCGGTATCGCAGAGGTCATGGGTTCAAATCCCGTACGGGCCTGAAATTTTTTTCAGGTCTTACTTACAACTACTAGTTTCAGTAGTGTTCTTAGCTGCGAGGGTCTTCTAATTTCATCTTTCCACCGCAGTGCAAATACAACTGACAACTGTGGGTGAATTAATCAATCAATACGCCAGAAATGTAATATTCGGAGTGGAAAATTTAATAAACATCTTTGTGTTGATTGGCCGATGATATTATTGTGGTTTTGTTTGATGACTCCTGGTCGAAAAACCCCCTTCATAAATTTTCAATTTCCGAAATAAACCTGATTTTTCTTTCTTTTAGCCAGCAGTAATCTTGCCTTAGAAATCTAATATTTACCAAATTTGTCATTTGCCCTGGAATATGCTGAATAACTGTGTTTATTGAAGTAATCGTGAATCATTGCTGAAACAGCCAACAACATATTTAACTGTTCTAAGTTAAGCTTATTACGATAGGGAGTTACGATAGCGCGCGATCTGGAAACTTGATATTGTCACACAACTCTCTGATGTACAGTCACGTATTTGTAACTTTTGCCTCACTAAAAATTTCAGGTTCTTAGAGCATTTCAATAACTTCGTGTTTTTCAAAATTCGTAAACGGTACCGAAAGATGTTTCCTGGATTTACTTGTTTATGTTTCGCACAGACTTCTGAGCACGTGGACACGTTTCTTCAAACTCATACCACATTAAAAGGTGTTTCGCGGCTTAACCGCTGACTGCTTGTGGTTTCTGAAATGCACAGTTTACCGGAGTGTCGTGCAGTGTCGTGTTTGTCCTCTGCGCTCCTTGAAGTTTTTAGTTGTAAACGAAGTGGACATGACAGAAGGGTTTAACTTCAGCCTCTGACTCTTGACTCAATATGTTGGCCGAATTAGAACAGTTGGATGAGTCAAGGGCATGGCCACGATTATTTCAAGTAAGTTAAGTTCAGTTGTTTGTAAGCTCATTATTAAGCTAATATAACTTTTAGCCTCATGTTCTTTTTTCCAGCTGTAAGCCAGTTTAATTGTCAGAAGTCTAATTATGTTAGAATATGGCTTGTCGGGGAATATTTTTATTTTAAAATAATTTTAATGGTGCTCTGGTTTATTTTAAACTAATTTAATTTCATGCTGTATTGATAGAAACTCAACTGGGAAGCGAGCCAGAGAGCTGGAGCACTAACAGTTGCAAGACTTCCTGAAAACAGACAACTTAATCGGTACAGAGATGTTTTACCATGTAAGTGATTGCTCAGATAGATTATTAACTACTTTTCATTGAAGGACAATGAAGAAAGGCTGTAAATATGTTACTATTTTGGCTCCAGATTGCGAAATAAAAAACTCTGAAGAAGTTGCCCGATCTGGTGTGTTACCAGTTAAGCCGTGACTTGAATACATCTAGGACAGTTTCCAGTTGCTACATCTGTTACTAGACAGTGGAATAATCATGTCTTAGTCGCAAGACTTTTAACTTATTAATTAAATGTGATATTTTACTTGATTGCTTTTCAACTTGGTGTTGTAAACCAAAATTGAAACTTATTACTGACAACAACAAAATGAAAATGAATGCTTACACTAAGGTAGTCTAGGTGATAACAATGGGAAAATTCCTCACATCAGAAAAAATTTTAACCATGTGTATCTTGTACCAGGTTTCAGAAAGAGTAAAGCTGATCATCCTTCCATTAGTCTGGTATAAATTGGGCTATTAGGCAATTACTGGATGAGGTTGAGTGTGATATCATGAATTATCATTGCCAAAGTTTGAGTTATCTATCTTGAGATAACACTGACATGAGGTTTGATAACTCATGATATCATGTGAAAACCAAATTGAATAATTGATGTATCATACATTTTTTAAACAATCTGCAAAAGAAGAAACTTCTCTGAGTTTGCCAAAGTTTGAGAACGCTACACCAACAAAGGGCTTGGAGGCTAGATAGACTTGAACTCAACATGATAACCTAATATCTACTTAGACATTGTTTGTTTTATAACTTGCAGAGCTGTGTTAGATTATTTTCGAGTTTGGAGTAATTACCACAATGTACAGTAGAAGTCTTGATGAGACTGTGAAGTTTTTTTTCCCTTCTTGCCATAAAACTTTGTATGAACCTTCACTTTTAACTGTGCAGATGACTCAATTTTGAGATGATTGACCAACAAGCACTTACCTTGTTGTGATAGGGCTTTCAACAGTAATGTATTTACTGGTTGCTTTCAGATGACCACAGTCGAATCATTTTAAAGCAAGGATCCTCAGACTATATCAATGCTAACCTTGTTGAGGTATTTGTTACTATTCAGAATGATGATAAAATTTGGATTTGTTTTGTTCACTTACCACAAGTTGAAGCATCTTGGATTTTATGAACATTTTTAATTAGAACTTGCATATTATTATTTTAAGTTAGGCCTTATAATTTTGCAGTTATTTTGCTGAAGGGAGGGTCTCTCTACAGGGTTATTGTTTGGGAATAACATTTGTAAGTTGTAAAGGACTTGAAGTTTGCACTAGATTTAAATGTGCAAAACTGATTAGGCAATTAAACAACACTTTTTTGTTTTACTGGCTAATAAACCATGCAGGAAGTTGGAAGAGTACGAGGAAAGGTTATAAACTATGAAGTATAGCACTGATTCAAACACTGTCCAGCTATTTTGTTTACTTACTTTACAGGAAAATATTTAAAAATAAAGCAAAAAACCATCCTATGAAAGCTGAAATCTTGAACAACAACTGGAATTGCCTTAAATCTTGAGTGCACATTCACTTTGCAAGTGAATAAATGCTTAAAATGGAGCAACCAATTAGTTAAACTGAATTTTAAACAGAAATTTTGATCATATTAGAAAAATGAAATCTTTGTTGTTGTTTTCAGAGTCAAAGTGTCCTCTTCATTTCCCTCAAACCAAAGGCCTTTCACAAATTAAAACCTAGGAATTTGCCTTGTGTGGTGCCATTTCATAGGTCAGGGAGATGCTTTTGTTTTGTTTGGGTATACAGTCAGGCAAATAAACAAGAGATGTGTGACCAGTTAGAGTGCATGTTGTTTCTAAGTTATGTCATAATGAAGAAGGATTCAATTTGTCTCAACAGATTTCAAGATTGAACAAAAAGTATATTTTGACCCAGGTTTGTTGTAATGAATATGACCAAAAAAAACAAGTGTTATGCAATTATGCTATCTCTAAAAATGGTACATACATTGATTCTTGGCAGGGGCAATGTGGAAAATTCATTTCCTGTACTCTGCAGATTTTATTCAGTATTAGCTCATGCAAGGAGTTCATGGGTAATTCTAAAATTGATTTTTTTCAAATTTCAGGGACCATTACCTCATACTGCAAATCACTTCTGGCAGATGATATGGGAGCAAAACACAGCTGCTATAATCATGTTGAACAAAGTAGTGGAAAAAAATCAGGCAAGTACAAATCTTATCATAGACTTTTATATTTAATTTCAGGTGTCTCAAACTTCCAGTTATTTGGGACAAAACCTGTGTCTTTGGGTGTAGACTTTATGTTAACATGTTACTGCCAGGTTTAACCTTAGGTAACTTGAACATTGGGAACCTTATACCATTCTAACTGGTCTTTGGAAAGTTCAAGAATTAACAGGGCTCCACCATTCTTTATAATCTATGTAAACTGGAGAATTTGAATTCACTATGAAGAGTTTTTACAGAAAATGTATACAATTATATGTAACAATGAAAGTAAAACACAGTGGTCATAAGGGTGCTCTGTGTTTGATGCAATTATTGATCATGTCACTGGAATGTTTTCATGTCACATTACTACTTTAATAATTCCACAAGGTTACATGGAAAAAGGCCACAGAAAATACAGCATTCCATTGGGAGTAAAAAAATTTTCTTATACATGTTTGTTACATTGCAGATCAAGTGTTACCAGTACTGGCCATGTGGAGAGGCCTATGCCCATTCTAATCAGCTTGAGTTTGGTAACTTCAAAATCAACTACCTTCGGGAGTTGCACAATGAATACTTCACCATAAGATCACTGGAACTAGAAAATATTTTGGTCAGTAGTTGGAGTTACTTACATTGTTTCCTTTTTTGACTACTTTTGATCAAACAGGCATGAGTTAAGACAGGTTGTCATTATTATCTTTTTAGACAGGAGAGAAACGTCCAATAGAGCATTTTCACTATCTGACATGGCCAGACTTTGGAGTGCCTACCTCACCTGCAACTTTCCTGGCTTTCCTGTTTGAAGTGCGCAGGGCGGGAGTGATGTCTAATGATGTAGGACCCTGTGTAATTCATTGTAGGCATGTTATTTAACCTTTTTTTTTCATACAAATAGTGGTAGCATTTTCTTCTAAATAGCATAGGACTGGATTTTAATCAAGAAACTACAGCTGACAGAAACCTCTATACAGGGAAGTGACTCTGGCAGACTCCTTTGAAAATGTTATTTAATATATTTTATGTATTTGAAGTTTAAAATATTTAGGCTTTAAATATCCTGAAGAGGTTTTTGTGCTTACTTTTGAAGTGCTGGAATAGGAAGGTCCGGAACATTTGTCATGGTGGATTCAGTTCTGACAGAAGTGAGTAGGGATCAAATTATACATACTATAGGTTTTTATCATTGATGTTGTCAGGGTAAGAAATCATCCTGAAAAATGAATACCAGACAAAGCACCTCTTAAATGTTGGTGACACTTTAAAAAGTACTGGAACTCTCTTTAGTTTTGGATTCCTGTCATCTTAAGACAACTATGACTTGGATATTGTCATTTTGTAAATATGCACAACAAATATTTTTTCCTTCTATGTTTCTAAAAAGTCTTAACATTGTTATCACATGGTCCAAATTATTAATTTAAAGACTCGTGTTACAATTATAATGTATAAAGTTTTTTTTTATAAAATATATTAAAGTTCACATGGCAACCAGGTGGATAATCAGACATAGTTTGATGCTACTCTGGTTTGCAGGTTTAATGAATGTGTGGTTTGGTTAGGCATGTATGCTCTGATAAAGCTGAATTTCCCTTTTTGCAAAGAAAAAAACGCTTTTTGGTGCTCTTTTAACCATGTACCAAACTGACATTTGGTCTGTACAATGTATTCATTGTCACAGTCATTGCAAGGAATAGAATAAATGGTGTCGGTTCATTGTTCTTTCATGACAGGATCCTTAGGTTTGGCGAAAATATGCTTTATCGGAGCATACATGCCTAACCAACCACACGATTGGGTGGGATAATTCTAAAATTATCACCACTAATCGGCGTTACCACCAGTGCCTTTGTTTGGAGGCTTGGCATATCAACTCTGCCCACACCCCTTTAAATTGTGACGATGGCAGTTTGCTTCCTGACGCCTATTTACACCTCGTCAGAAAAAAGAGGCCGCTAATTAGTGATCATATAAAAGGACCTCTTGTTGTAGCGTTTAGATCACCCCTGATGAAGGCACTAGGCAGGAGTGTTGAAACGTTGGGTCTATGAATTGTAACTTCTTCAGTTACATTCATTAAATCTGCAAACCAGAGTAGCATCAAACTATGTCTAAGTTTTTGTTTCTTTACTGTTTGAGCAGTCCATTTCTTATGTTGGAAGATTCCTGTTATATTTTTGTTATCAGATTGAGCATGAGGAAGACATGAATCAGATTGATATCCAAGCCATGTTACTAGAAATAAGGCAATATAGAGTGGGTCTCATTCAAACACCAGATCAACTGCGCTTCACATACCTGGCCATTTTAGAAGGTGTACGTGTTCTAATGCCTGAAATATATCACAGAGATGTAAAGCATCAGATACAACCAAATACTGGTGAGTTAACTCAGTCTGGCTGTGCACACAGTGAATTATAGTGTGTAACAACATTTCAGGCTTATACTCCAGAGGGTTAGAGGCTTTAAATCTATGGAGTATTTATCTGTGAAATTAAAGTATTTCAAAAGAAGCAGAATGAGTCTCAGAGATGAAATGTTGACTGGTGATGATTTGCTTTTCAAAAGTCTCCCATGCAAAAGGTCTTAAAGGCATTAAGTGCATGGAAAAAGCTAGGTCTTACATTTGCTTATACATGTATGCAAAATTATCCTCAATTTGCTAAGTTGAACTTCTCACATACTGGAAGATAAAAATGCTGTTTCAAAAAAGAATGAAAGGTGACTTGTATCATTTTTATCTACTGTGCAAACATTACACTTAGCATGACAAAAAATTGCTTACAGGCCTTTTTGAGCCAAGCATTTATATTCTGAGTTCTAAAGATGATCTGGAAACATTGGAAATGCTTCAAGTAGACAAACCATGTTATTTGTACCATTAATTTTTCATTAAAGAGTATGGTGTCCCCTCAGAGTCATAAGGGCCATAAGCAGCACATCCAGCTTGAAAAGAATTCAGGCTAAATGACAAAAAATGTAATAATCCATTGAACAACTGTCATGCAAGAGGTCATGTACATGGTACATTCTTGGCCAGGCATGACCTCTTGTGCAATAGCTGTTCAACTGATAACACTGCTGTGTTAAGTTATTTTAGCCAAAATTCCTTTCAGGCTGGATGTGTTGCTTATGGCAGGCCAAGAAAGAAAATTTGAGGTATTAAACTGCAAGGATAAAGCTTAAAGATGATTTATATTATGATTTGCAAATATGTATACCAGACCTTTTTGTAGGCCTTTAAATAGGCCATAGCAGCTGTTCAGCAGTTGGCATTGCATTTTTGTCATAATAGCCCAAAGTCTTTTCAACCTGGAAATGCCACTTATGACAGGCCAAGATAGAGAATTGGAAGAATCAAACTACATAAAGCTGTAAGATGATGTAAATAATGATTTGTAAATAAATATGTTGTACCTTCTTATAGGCTATTGAAGTTGACCTCTATTTTACCACTGTGAAATAGACACAAAGTACATTATTTCTATGGCTCATTATGCAGACTTATATGCAACAACAAAACAAATCCACATTTTCGACAAGATAAAGGAATCATCTGCTAGCACACAAAATTTAAAGGCAGGATTACATTGTGTTGTGGCATACGAAGTGACAATGACCATTTGAACTTTTCAGTTTTTCAGAGAAAGCAAAGTAAAATAGAACTTTTTGATATAATTTTTGAAAAAGGTTCATCAAAAGGTTCCTTTAGGAAAAATAAAATTATTTATGAAATTTTGCAACTGTCATCAAATTCTTGATATTTTTGGTCAGTGGCTCTTAATTTATGTTCCCATTCAAGTTTGACTGTTTACCCATCCACCAATGAAATGTTACCTGCATTTTTGACTACTGGTTCATTAAGCCAAAATTTAAAATTTCAAAAATGTTTCTGCAAAATGTTTTATGGCAGTCTCCTTTATTTCTCTGAAAGGTGATGACCAGGATGATGAAGTAGTTACAAGTAAAAGAGATGATACAAGCCATCAGGAGGGGGAGAAAGAGGAGACACCACCTCCACTACCACCACGACGAAGGCATGCTGAGACTACTGATGAACCAGAGAATAAGAAGAGTCGTATAGGTGAACCTGGTATGTTACTAACAGTACACCCTAATGAAATAATATTAAGATAAGGAGTAAGAGATTACAGGGAATGTATTCTATAATCAGTGGATAGATTACTACTAGAAAGGTCTGCACTGAAACATGAATCAGGGGAGCAAATGAGAGGAATACATTTGGAATAATGTTTAGTGACTAAGAGAATGCATCCTCTAATCTGTAAGAAAACTTCAATATTGATTATTATACAGAATACCAGGTCTTCTTTTGATTTTTTGTACATCTATTTTTTTAGTTATTTATTTGTTTGTGGTATTTGCTAGGCAAAATTAATTTAAAAGTAAAAACCAAACATTTTTAACACTAGGTCATCATTTTATTAATTTGTTTATTTATTTATTTTTGATGATGACCTTGTGTCAAACATGTTTGGTTTTTATAAGTATATTTTTGTCTTGTAAATAGCTCATATTTAACCTAAGCAAACTTTCTAGACATTTATTTGTTTGTCACTTGTCTGAATTCAGTTACCTACGTGACAGAGCCAAAATCAGAAGTAGAAGAAGTGTTTTCAGACAGTGGTAGTGATGGGTCAGATGAAGTCATCAACCTGTCTTCCTTATCAGAATCAGAGACTGATGATGACACTGTTCAAATAAGGGAAAGCTTACTAGATGATTCAAAAGATGATGAAACACAACAAAATTACGACTTAAAGGTTAATATTTGGTTTCTGGTGAAACTAATTCTTTTGTTTGTTTGTTTTCTTGTGAATTTTTTGCATGCATTAGCTACTTAAATGAGGATCCTGCTGTACAATTGCTTGAGTTTAAGTGATCTTTGTTTTTCTTATTCTCTCTTAGGAACAAAACAAACTATCCCCTGTGCATGCTGAGTTACTCATAAAAGATGATACACTAGAACAAACAGAGGAGGAGGGTCTTCAAATAACAGATGAGGGGTCTAAGCTGAAAGATGTGCCTCAATCAACTGCTGTAGAGGATCAACATACCAAGGAAGGTACTGTCCATACAAAAGACAAGGAAGACCCTCAACCATTAGATGAAGGGGTTCTTCACCTGTCGGATGAGGGAAGTTGCAATGCCAAAGACTACTGTCTAAACCCAAGAGATGGCTGCAAACCTTCAAACCAGGGATGTGAAGTTACCACTGGAGGTCTCAAAACATTAGATGAAGGGTTGCAATCAACAAGTAAAGGCCAAGTAAAGGAGAATGAGAGGTATAAATGATCATACAATATTAGCAAAGAGCACTGAGAATAAACAATTCTACTGGACAGTGAAAAAAAAAAAGAAAAGGAGTAAACCTACCTAAGATGGGATAGAGATAGTGGCTGGAACCTTTTAATGAATGCGCATGGAGATGTGTGGATGTGAATTACAAACTGAATGTTAACCATTAATATGACTAGAGACCAAATTGGACTCCACTTCATCCTAATACCAATTAATCATAACCGTTAAAATTTCACAGTCACACAGTCAAGTACATTTAGGACAAACATCAGCAGTAGAGACAATGTCTAAAGAAAAAGATCCCTCAATTTTGGAAATTCCCCAGGTCTTTTTTTCAGGATATGTGATTCTTGCTATGGTCATTGTGATCAATACAGCGATTAGTGGATTTAGCTGAGTGGACTTAGTATGATTGGCTGCTTCAACTGTCCAATTACAGGCGTCCAATTACAGCCAAATGTCCAATTATGACTGTACAGAATGATAAGTGAAGAATAAAGCAGCTAATGCACTAATCACATTTGAGGAAATTGTAATGGTTATGATTAGGAATGGAGAAAGTCCACATGGATGGCAGAATAAAAAATCAAGTCACCATGGAGCTTATGTGAAAACAGCCAGCAAACTTGTGCTAATAACATTCTTTAGAACAGCATCAACAACATACTGCATTTTTTTGTTCATAGTGGTATGGAAGTACGTAAGCGAAGGGAAGAACGCAGGAAAAAGACATCTGATATGATTGATAAAATAAAGAAGAATGTCAAACAAAGTGAAGATACAAAAGTATGGAACTTCAGATTGATGTTATCAGGGGGAATCCTATTAGGATGTACAGTGGCATACTTGGCTTACAGATACTTCACTCATGGCTAGTTTTTCCTCTTCTTCATTGAAGTGATGTGTAATTGTTTTTTGAGTGCTTTTCATGGTTATTTCTCTTGTAACTTGCATGATAATGTTTTTGGTAATGTCCTTTTTGAACCTGATTCCAACTCATTTTTACAGATTTTAAGATACTTTTTAAGACATCTCTATATGACAGGGCTAAATGATGACAGTGTGTACCGAAAGATACAGCATGTAGAACTTTGATTTCATATGTGGTTGGAAAGTTGCAGTAACAATGTGGAAACCCTTATTATTTTCAACCCCAAAGTATTCTTTACTCGGGTATGAGTTCTGCTTTGATTTTAATGGTTATATTTTGTTTTTATAATGACATACACTGAATTGATATTCATGAGTTTGAAAATAAGAGAAAGTCACATTTCAGTGAATGAACATGAACTACAAGATACACATATGCCAAAAAGGAACATTTTCCAAAAGATTTGTAATTTTCCAAATTTCCCTCAACAACATTAATTTGTATTTGTTTTACAAGAGTCAGTAAACAAATTTTTATTGTCCAAAATGTTCATTTTTTTTCCAATACACTTATTGTATGTGTAAACTCATCAGCTTAATATGATACTTTAAGGTGAATTTTAATTCTTAATTGATGTTTCACCAACTAATTAAACTAGCATTTTTTTAAAGTTATTTTGAAAAAAAAATCAGTTTCAGATGTGCTCATCTTCTGTTTCTTTTACATTGAATGTTTAAATTGTAAAAAGACTATTTGTTGGTTGATGAAAAGAATAATGACATTTTATGTGTAATCTGCTACTTAATGTAGCTGTAAGAGTAACTTTTTAAATATAGTTATAATGTTTGCGGTAAGGGTGAAGAGAGACAGTGTTGGTTGAAGTGCATTTTGTTGTTGGTGAACTGCTATTGATTTTTTTTTCATGCTATGGAGACACTATGGAATGATGCAAAAAAAATTGAATCTTTTGCTGATTGTTAGTTCTGAGGCTACATTGCTGACGAGAACAGTGACATTATTTTTTCTTAATGTAGCTAAGCTGTAATAATTTAGACTCGACCAAAAGTATTCTTAATTTCCCAGAAGCATACTGTTGTCTGTTAATATTGTTATAAATATTATTACAGTAATTTGTGCAAAATCAATTCAGTTGTGAATCCTTAATTTTATCCTTAGGGTGATGTAGTTCATTTTATACAGTATTTTGCACAAATTTCACATTAAATGATTGTGACGGCCTTGTGTTCTTCATTATGTCTTTTTACTTATTTAATGTTAAGTGAAAGAAGTGTTAAGGTTGCTGGTGTAATGGTGAACCATTCTTTTAGGAAGCCTTAAGGGAACTTTGTTGTCTAGCCCTAGGTTGGCAGGACATGACCAATTTTATGAATCATTTGCAAATTAAAAGTTTGGACTTCTTCATGCAGTAATTTTCTATTAATCGCTTCCCACTTTATAATTACAATAGGCAACAAGAATTGAGAAAATTCTCTCACAGGTATTCTCTCATGGTTTAATGGTAAAGTTGTATAATTGAAAACATTGCTCTGGTAAACAAACTTGACCTGAATCAAAGGGAATTGAATGAAGGGAAAACAGGAGCCTTCATTGGGGTCCACACCACATTAATATACTGTACCAATAATCATAAATAAAAAATCTTGACTAGGAGGATTCAAGGAAAAGGAACAGGCATTTTCTAGAAACCATACAATTTTTATCCTATCATTTAAGAGTTTATCTAACAGTGTACTCTGTTGTGTATTTTGTGATATTGTAGAGTACTGAATCAAGCCATTCAAAATTGTCTTCAGTAGTGCTAAAAATATGTGAGACTGTAACTTAATAACCAGGCCACAAACTCATCAAATGGTAGGTCAAAATAGTATCTCTAGTTATCACAAAAAATTACTACTCAAGGAACAAATGCCTTTTTGTATTGCTTTGAACTGTGCTAACAGATCACTTAGAAATCTAACGAGCAAGACTCTTATGTCATAGATGAACAGCTAATGGAAGGGTCTCAAGTTGAATTTTATGTTCACTTTTCTACAAGTTTCAAATGGTTTGGTTACTCTGGATCCTAAAATGTAACAGTCCTTTTTTAATAAACTTTTAACCCTCAACACCCTCACATCATCATCAATATTCTTGGGACTATTCTCTATGCATTTAAAAGATCAGATAGTTTTAAGAGCATACTTTTCCTTTAATGGTGTTTGTTACAACATCAAGAGACTTGGTCAACTTTTAATTCTAAACCAAATGTAGTTTATTTGATAAGTTAAAAAATTACACTTCTATAACCTAGCTAGTTGTGATTGTCTATAAAGGATGTACAAATAGAAGTTTAGCTGAAATTATTTCATAGCCCAATTCAAAGACTGTTCACAAACTACAGCATTTTACATTTGAAACATCTCTTTCCCTCTCCCAGACTTGACAAAGAAGTGAGAATTGAGAATTTAGCCCTTTGGGCAAAATCTTGATTTGATTTCATTTAGGCCTCGGTTATGAAAACACTATAGTAAACACACTAACTATCTACTGAATGAGTGCCAGCAAAACAAATTATACTGCTTGGAGCAAAATCAGTTATCCCACAAAAGAGCACCATCCACTATTTTTCCAATGGAGATAGGTGTAAACTTGATATCTCACTTTGTCACAACTTTGATCCACAAATTAACATGTCTGGGGATGAAACTCACTTAAACCAGTTCAGCCTTGATTTTAACTCGTTGAATAAGCATGTTCATTTGACACAATATGTGCTTTCTGTGTCAGAAGGAAAACAACATTGAGATACTTTTGTCCCGAAATAGCATTGCCACATTCCTTAACCAGCAAGGGTTGCAAGATTTATGACTCCTATTTGTAACAATTATTCCTCTAGTAACCTACTAGCAAATGAGCCATTGACAAAAAAAAAATGGCCAAATCAAGACCAACCTAAATAACATTCCATTACTGAGACAAAAAAAATACAACTTGTTAATACATGTAGTAATGCCGCAAAACATTTTTAACACCTTCCTATGTAATAAAATGTCAGCAACATATTTATTTGATAGGTTACCTTATCACTCTAAATGTGACCTATTGGATCTCATTAAGTTAGTGACTTAACTTGGGGAACTGAACCTCATTACTTAGACATATAATGAGATATGTATGTTACTCAACAAATTGGAGGCAAATAGGAAAAAATAAAAAATTGAAATCAGTGAAAAAGATCATTTTTCTACTGGGAGTTATCATTATTCAAATGATCATTTAACAATGCATGTTTGACTATACTACCTAACTACCCTACAGAAAATGTTTACACTGGCATTTAGCCATTCAAATTTTGTCTTTCAATTTGTTCAAATAATAAATAAGTACTTGTTATTGTTAGTCTTCACAAGCTAACTTTAAAAATAAAGGTAGCCTCTCTTTATTAGATCATCATTCTAACTACTAAAAAACTCACTATTTGTCCAATTTTTTTACCTGCACTAATTGGTACTGATATGAGTTTGTACTTATAGTTAAATTACTAGTAGCTCAGTAAATCAATTTCCTTTACCGCATACAACCAATCAATTGATGTACGAGTGGTATAAATAAAACAAATGTAGCTAACAGTATGTAATTACATGGAACTATTGATTACTGCTTAAGCCTTTCTTCAAGAGCATTTAGCTCATCTCCAACAGCATTTGGTAAGTCATCCCCTAACTGCTCTTCATAGTATTGTCGCAGGGAGCGGCACTCTTCCAACCAATAGTTCTTGGGAATACTGAACAGCTCCTTCATGTTCAGTTCTCCAAGACCTTCAGCATTAATCGAATCATTCTTGGGTATGAAGCCAATTGGGCTAGGCTCGGCAATGTCCTCTCCATCACAACGTCGCAGCACCCACTCTAGCACACGACTGTTCTCTCCAAATCCTTGGAAAAAGTTGACAAACAAGTTGAGTAATTAGCTTAAAAGCACAGAATAAAAAAAAACACAAAATATTCCAAAAGCAGCTTAATAATAATTATACAGCATTTTGTAGGTAGTATTCCAATGGCCTGCAAATTACATTGAAAGGATCAATTTTTAACTAATAAAAACTTTAAGTACCCCTCATAAAGAAAGACACTCTTATCAAATAAATAACTGTTTTCTGAACAAAAAGTCCAAAATTTAGCAATTTGATTTGCAGTGCATCCTTGAACAAGAAAAAAATTGTGTTGAAATGTTATTATTATTAGTAACTCCTTCAAGTCTTACCTGGCCATAAAAACTTGTTATTTTCATCAAGACGGAACCAGTTTACATGAAAAATTCTTGGTAACTTGTGATTTGGATTGTTTCCCATACTTAACCAGTGCTCCATGTACTTGCCAAAATTGTACCCAAAGAAAGGCCTCATAGCAAAAGGATCTCTCATGATATTTTTTCCCTGATGTTCAGCAGCAGCAGTGGCTTCAGAGGACATGGATGAAGCAATGAAAACCCCATGCTGCCAATTAAAGGCTTCATACACCAGAGGAACTCCTCTTGGGCGTCGGCCACCAAACAGTATAGCACTGATGGGAACACCCTTGGGATTTTCCCAGTCTTTGTCCATGATTGGACAATTGCTTATTGGTGCACAGAATCTGGAATTAGGATGTGCTGCCTTAGTTTTTCCAGGCTTCCAATTTTTCTCTCCAAGCCAAGTAGTTACATCTGCATCTGGTAGCGGCAAACCTTCAAAACAAAGACACTAGATTAAGAATGCTGCCATTCATGATGATTCAGATGAACTTGATTTTCATCTGACAATTTAGCCTCCAGGGATACTATAAGATGATCAATACTAAAAATTAGATCAGACTGGAAAAGCTTTTGTACTTAATTAACCATTTGCCTGAAAATATAAGTTAAAAATCTCTTCAAATGATGAGTGCTCCATATTAGATCTGAAAATCACTGTAAGATACTTAACACAATAATGAGATTATTCTGTAAATTAAACCTTAATCTCACTAATTCTATGTTTTCATTTTCAAATACATATCATGGCTTATACCTTCCCAATAAAAGTCACCATCGCCTGTTTGTGCAACATTCGTGAACAATGTTCCCTTTTTGCATGTATCCATAGCAACTGGGTTGGTCTTGTTCGATGTTCCTGGTGCAACTCCAAAGAAGCCAAATTCAGGATTAATAGCTCTCAGTTGACCTTCCTCATCAAACCACATCCAGGCAATGTCATCCCCAATGCATTCAACCTTCCAACCTGGCAATGTTGGTGTCATCATGGCCAAATTGGTCTTTCCACAGGCACTTGGGAAGGCTGCAGCAATGTATTTCTTTTCACCCTGGGGGTTTGTGAGAGCAACAACCTGGATAGAGAAACAGCACAATAGCTTTTAGTTGCTTTAATTTTTTTCATTTTCATCAATATGTTATGCCTCTTAACCAAAATGTATAACTTTCATTCTGAAAAAAGCCAGAATTTTGGGAAAAGTGAAGGAATGAAGAAGGGTAAGCTGGTGTGAGCTGCGGCAAGATAGATGCTTTGGATCTTTAGGTATGACTCTTGTGCCCCAAGCATTAAGGTTATTGACCAATCAGGCATATTAATTTTTTCAAAAATCAGATAAAAAATCATCACTTAGTTCCCATAATGGTTTTTACTTCTTAACTTGACACACCCTGGTTTCTGTAGGTGTTCAAAATGTTTAGTACTATTATTTCTCAGTTTACAAGGTTATACATCATACCAGCATGTGTTCTGCCAACCATCCTTCGTCACGACCAATTGTGCTGGCAATCCGTAGAGCAAAGCATTTCTTTCCCAACAGAGAATTTCCTCCATAACCGCTTCCAAATGATTTGATTTCACGATCATGAGGAAAGTGAGAGATAATGGTTCTATCTGGATTACAAGGCCACTTGAACTGGGATGGTGGTTCAGGTTTAGGCAAACCAACTGAGTGTAGACACTTCACAAAGCCATTGTTTCCCAGAACTTTCATAACCTCTGCACCCATCCTAGTCATGATGCGCATGGAACAGACCACATAAGGAGAGTCTGTGACTTGGATACCAATCTTAGACACAGGAGACCCAACTGGACCCATACTGAATGCCATGACATACATGGTACGGCCTGGAAAAAACATATGTCCATCTCTGAAGTGAAGCTTGTATGCAATTCTTTCATTTCCGAAAAGTGAATATCAGTTAATTACCACCATATGGGAGGCAAATCAACATCTGGAAAATGTGGTTAACCCTTTCACTCCATGAATGACTACCACAGAATTTCTCCTTACAATATCAGTACAATATCGAGCAGATAAGTGATGAAAATAAAAAAATAAATAAATTTAGGGATAACTATTAACATCATAACAGTTGTATGGTTGACAGGAAAATAACAAATTTGATCTGGGAGTTAAAGGGTTGAATCTCAATCCCTGCATCAAGGAGTTTTTTTGGGCTTCTCAAAGAGAAATTTGCATCAAGAAAATGCTTTAAGTTTCTCAAAGAGAAATTTGAATTTGAAGATGTTGGACTCCATCCTTTCTTGTTGAGGAGTTCAGTTTGTATGTTGAGCTGAATTGTACTCAGAAATTGTGGCTAAAATATCAGTAACCAATCTGTGATCTATTACTGAACAGCAGAAACACAGTTGTTATTCTAACCTGAGCATTTCAAAGGTCATTCACACACTTAAAAACTTAAGAGTGCATAACTTGAAAAACCTGACATTACTATTCATCAATCATCTTGTTCAAAGTTCAACAGCTATTGGCTACTGCCAATGGTTCTTCAATGTCAACTTCTCATTAAATAACAAACAATTTTCTCTCAGGCTTATGATAACACACCCATTTCTGTATTTTGATAGAAAACTGTTAAGTAAGGGAATGAACAGGTTTGCTGATTGGCATATTTGGGCTTAAAAAAATGTTTGGGTCACAGATTTTTGCAACAAACTGTGAATTTGAAAACTACGATTGATTGCAGATCTGCTTAAAAGTTTGACCTGGTTTATTGATTGCTATTATTTTCAGAATATAGTGGTTATTTGTTAGCTTTATTTTTTCAAAAAATTAATTTTGTGAACTAGCTTCTCAAACAACATCAAGAATTAAGTCTTCTGTCTGGTAAAATCTTGATACATTGAAACAAAAGCACAATATACAAACATGATATTACAAGCAGCAAATTCATACCACAAAGATTTCTAATAAGAAGTAAGGCTGATCTGGATAAGAATGAAAATAGTTTGGGATTAACAGAATTGGTCAAATGTAACATGGGTAAGTGGGTTTGCATAGCCACATTCAACCCTCCCTTGACCAAAGAAAAAGTCTGCAAGATTTATCAGTCCTGAGTACTTTTGTCCAAACTGTGCACATTAAAACTACAAACAAATTAACAGATAAGAAATTCAGAAAGAATAGATCTCCATAACAGATGGAATGCACAACAGGAATGTAACAGGTTCAAAGGTTCTTCCAGTATAATGAAATCTCTGATAACAACCCCTTGGGATTAGCAATCGTGTATATTCAGACTAAAAAAACATTTTATTGAAAATTACATTGGAGTTGAGGCTGAAAACAGATAAATGTGAAACAGATAAATGTAAATTTTACATAAAACTGCCTCCAACATGGAATATTCAAATTACTTTCCTCTTTAGTGAAGCATGAAGTTTCCAATCTTCACTAAAATTCTATTAATTTAAACTTGGCACAAGCAATGTGATAAGGACCTGTTTAGCACCAGTATTCACATTTTATAATGACTGAGCTGTTAGAAGATATAGATGTTTCTAGCCCAACTTAGCTGTTTCACCGAAATAGACTTAAATAAAGCTGACTATCATTAATCACCTAGGGGAAGAAAACATCCTTGCTAGCTTCACCTTTTTGCTTTGGATTGTTTTTAAAGCAATAATTATTTTGATTTTCATGGTTGCAAAAAACACTATTTTCAGGTCAGGGATTTTTATAAAAATAAAGGGGAAAACAAAAATGTGAAAGTTAACCAAAGCAACCAAGACTTGTTTTTAAAACAAAACAAATGCACTCTCATTGAATTTCAAAAAGACCAAGATGACCTTTGAAACTTAGTTGAAATGGACAATATCCTATTTACGTGGCATACCCCTTACCACACCTCCCGCAACAACCAATCACAACGCACGATAGACAATATCGTAAGAGACCAGGATGACAGGACAATTTTAACGAAATCTTGCAGTAAAAAGGTAGGGAAGCTCCATTTTGATGCCAAAAGACACGTTATAAGCAAAAGGATTTTTTTTTCTCAACAAACTTTGGTCTAAACAAATCCTAGTTTCCGCACGAGGTTAGCAATCGTGCTTGATTCTTCTTTAAGATATGTCCTCACCTTTCATACAACCAGGAAATCTTTTACTCAACTCCTTGTTCATATCCTTTACGCTCATCCATTTACCCAGCCGGCCTTCAACTCCATCCTTTGCTGTTGGGATGGATTCTCCTTTGTCCTCTGTACAGATGTACGTTTTAGATTCCACTCGTGCCACATCGCGTGGATCAGTGCGGGCTAAGAAACTGTGAAACACAAAAACTACAGTCAGTGGACTATAAACTGAAATTTACTACTGTCAAGTTCCCTCTTCTTGATTCCCTAGTATGAATCATTGCTTGCAAAAAATCCAAGTTTTAGGTATATTCGATTGTCAAATCAACAGCAAATTTGGCTTAAACTACTTGAACATACCAGTTGTCATATTTATGAAGTTTAGTCAACACACCACTTTCGATCAACTCGTTTATTAATGATTCGTTCTCTTCCTTGGACCCATCGCAAATGTAAATGTTGTCCGGTTGGCAGAGTTCAGCTTTGTCAGCCACGTATTCCTGTACTTTAGTGGGTAGAGAGTCAAACTGTCCTCGAATCACCGAACAACCGGCTGGAAGCTGTGAAACCATCCTTCGAAGGGCGATGCGATAACGTAATGTAAAACGAACTGACGGCAGAACAGCTATCGACGAAATTCTGCCAAAAACAAATAAGTAGAATGGTGACGAAAATCAGTTTCAGAGATAAATTTCAGGAACAGCAAAAGAACGACGTGACATTGCCAGTTACTGAAGCTCAACAAAATATTTTCAAAACATGAGTTTAACAAGAGGTGTTGCCTACCGTGAGATAGCTGATGTAAATGACATCTTCGACTTTGATCAGAAATAAATACATACAGGTTACGCTACAATTATTCTAACGTGCTTGCCGGTAATTTTCCAAGGGAACGCTTGTCCACTGAAAAGCTTTCTGTAGAATCTAGTCCAAAGGTCATTGGGAGGACTGGAGGTGGCTCGATTAGAACATGCATTTTGATTGGTTTACATCTGTGCTCAACAGCCATCGTGTAACACGTACTTGTACGTCACGCTAGTTGTCAGAGGGTCATGTAAATCGAACGTCTTTACGTGAAGACCGGACAATGAGTTAAAAGAGAAAGAAATCGAGCAATGAATTTAATCCGTGATTAAACAAATGAATACTTCGCTTTCTGCACCGGACATGATAGCAAATGAAACTTGTAAACGTTCGATGAGTCTGTTTGGAATCATTTGTCGCGACCGACAAGAAATCCCAGCGGATTATATTTTAAGATAATAGGCCCCTAACGAAAGTAAATTTACTTGTGTATCCAAATCTTGAAAGTGACATTACTCAACCTCTCGCCCTTGTCCCGCCCACATTTCCTGCACGTCATCTGATGTCATTTGTCGTACAAGTCACGGGACTGTGAAACACGTCATGTCAACACGGAATCTTTTGCTCACCACATCAATTTCGATAGAGGAAAAAACATCCTGCATCTTTTTTCCTGGGTAAACCTTGTGTTTCGCCTTAATGGCACCTTATTGCGTGTGGTCTTACGACACGTTTCACATTGCACGTTCCTTTAAATTTTTTTTGTCTACCAGTCTTGATAACTCACCCTTTAGGGGGTTCACTAGGGGGTTGATCATCCATCATCGTCTTGCTTAATATCATTAATGATTACAAGACACTCCGCGGTATCGTTTATTTCCCTTTTTTTTTCGGTGGAAGTTGGTTGATGTTTATGGTTCATACAGTCATTACTATAATATTTTTTGTTCCTCGGAGCGAGTTACTCTGGGAATCGTGTTGGAAAGGACAAACATCTTTCAGTAAATAATCTATCTACTTTTTTACTTTTTCATTTAGAGCTGGAGACCAATATCAGTTCTATAGCTAATCCAAGCAAAGCTCTTAAACGATGGTTACATTTGAGCTTTGTATTAGTCTTTATTTATACCGCGTCACGCGCTGTGACGCATGTCAAGTTACGCGAGGAACCGTTGACAATTTGAATGCGTTATAAGAAATAATAGAGTCGGTTTACAACGCTAAATATTCTGAAATATGAACATTTTACGGGTAAGATTAATAAAACTTACACACTCCTTGTGTATCCGGTGTGGTTTCTGGTGTTCTCTGCCGTTTTGGGCCTGCTTTGCCATCATTGTTATTCCTGTTATATGACGGAGTCAAGCTTGCACACTACGATTTTAACTGTTGTCCATTCCGTCTTGTAGAATACACAACGCGTGACGCTTTCTTGAATTAATCTTTTGCTTTTTCTCGAGACGTGTGAGACGCCTGTAGCAAAACAAAGAAACAAAAAACAGTTAAAAGATAACCAACCTCAGAGACCGCGCCTTAAAAACAATTAAGAAATTAGGATCCAATAATAAATCGATAAACAATTGATGAATAAATAAATTCATAGAGTCCTTACTTTATGGGACGTCATAAAACCTAAATACATGCACTCGCTCAATCGTTTCCAAGGAACGGTTCCCTGAGATTCAAACCTGGAGAGGAGTAAGGCAAGTGCCCTGCTGACGAGTTTTATTCAGTTGGCTCCCTGTGAAGTCAGTGACCACGTAAAATTCCTTGATCTATTTATGCATCATCCTTTTGCCATTATTTCGCCAAGCATACGGCTTCACAACCAAGACTAGAAACATTTTTGCTTCCTCTCCCTTTGTTCCGGAAATGATGAAAGGAAACAACTTTCCTAACTTTAAGGTTTCGTGGATCACGGAAGTATGAGACAACGGGACGACCAGGGCAGCGACGAATGGCGAACCTTTTCCGCCATTTGAAAATATTTTCGTTATCATCAATCCCCTCCTGTTTTGGAAAAACATTAAACAGCAGAACATGGGCTTATGTTCTTTTACACTCGTAAATTTGCGGTAAAAGTACTAGGGTCGCAAATTTATTGAATAATCACCCTAAGAGACCATTACTTATGGCAGCAATAAGGAACCATGGATGTATTTTCCTTTCACGTTAGCTGTCATATGCAAATAACCAGAGTCATTAAATAATCATCTGACGCCAGCAGATACTGAAGTTTTGAAGGAAAAACATATGGGATTTAAGATACCGTAAAATTCCGGTTATAAGCCCTGGGCTTATACAACTTCGTAAGATGAAACTCTTCATTATCTTCAAGGACTTCATCAGCTGATGGCATCTCCTTCGATGTTAATTTCATTATTTTCCGATCCACTAAGATCCAAAGAAATTCCGCATTTCTTCCCCGCTGTCGTTGATCACTTGGAAAGACCAATCTTCATGTCCGACTGAACCACAGTATCGTCATGTTTCCAACCGATGAACCTCTTCGTTGGCATCAAAGATAGCCCGTTGCTTGGGTTTAACGTTGCTTGTATCTTGGCGGCATCGCCGAGTTCTGTTTAGTAAAGGCGACATAAATGAGGGTTGTACGATTGCTCTGATCGTTTGCGATTACCTCAACTCTACCATGTTGAAAGACTCCAACTAAGTAAGGAGTAAGTTGTTCCAAGGTCGATTCCGACCACAGGAGCTGTCTTCACAGGCATCTTTAGTAGACTCTGATGGTTTCTTCTCGTCTTCTTCTTGTCTTGCTGAACAGACTTCTTTCTCGTCAAAATACGGCACAACTCATAAAAATACTTAGCGATACTACACACCAAAACGTCTAATAAGTTATTTATTATTCAACTGATTTATTTTATGCACAAAATAAACAACTGTCCGAATAACCGTAGAATATCGCAGGATATATCTTATTGAACGTTTTGGTGTATACCCCCGCTTGCTATTTTTACGTGTTGTACCGTGTTTTGACTCGAGTAAAAATACTCCGCGATACTACGCACCAAAACATTTATTAAGTTATTTATTATCCAACTGGTTTATTTCTTATGCACTTCCTATGAGGCGGGAAAAGCGAAGCAAACAGAGAAGCAGTTGGTGACAGGTCTTGAGGAGCTGAAGGCTGTGAACCAAGAACAATGGTACAGGGAAAGATTTTTTTCGTCTTGTCACGAGCGTGGGACAAAAGGAATCGAACCTCAGACCTTCGGATTCCGCGCTCCGATGCTCTACCACTTAGCCATAGAGACTCCACGGTGAGCGAGGTCCTGATTACGAATTTCATATGACACGCGTCCTGCATAATGCTGGGATCAGCAATGTCGATAGAGTAATGTTTTTAGATAGAAATAAGAGAGATTGTAAGTTTGTTCACAATTGTGCAGTTGTTAAATAAGGCAAGTGTAAAATAACCAACTCTGGTTCAAATAACCGTACAATATCGCAAGATGTTTGTACTCTATTCGCGCGTTATTTGTACTCTACTTTGTGCAGTTGGATAATATGTATTTCTTAGCGCAAGTGGCTAAAAATTTCACTCTAGTTTGAAGATGTCTGATGTTTGCTTTCGCCTCGAATCATGACCTTGTCGTCTTATATCAGAAATAGCGATTGTTCCCAATTCTTCCCAATCCCAAATCTTACATATGTTAATAAGCGATAAATTTTATATAATTCATGGAAAATTCAGCTGGAGATATATGAGGATAACAGAGAAGTATATCTTTAAACTTCGTAACTTTTGTTGAGGCGCACTCTTGGATCACCACGCCATTACATGCAAACAACTTTTTTTTAGGTCTCAAAAACTAAATATCTCTAATAACTACAGACGAATTACGGCTGAGGAAAAAACGTATCTACCTTTAGAGGGAGAGTCATAAGAAAGACAGTGATGGTAAAACTAAATCATTAAGATACGTGATGGCAAGATTTTTAACTTTAGCATAATATGTTTAATAATAACACGAGCTGCACAATCTGCAAATGCAAGTCTTCACTAAATGAAGATCAACACATGTTTTCGGCTCTGCTCGTTGTTCATGAACTATAGTAGTTGCAATTTTCAAAGATATTTTCAATTATCAAAGCGGCCAAAGAATCGGGGAAACAATTTCAAGGCGGTGCTTATCCCCTCCAACAGAAAAAAGCCCACACACTACCTAACATAACAGAAACTCTGACCCATAGAAAACAACACGTGGGGAGAGACGAAAAAATGGAGGGAAGTTGGGTTGACAACTTGACACGCAGCCTAAAAGCCGTTAGTGATTTAGTTAATATGACTGATAATCCTTCAAAAAACTGAGTAACTAAGAAAGTTAAAACGTGAGATATTTGTTTACAATTAAATTAATCGGTGTAACTTTCATTCATTCAGGATACGTTCACACGGTACCGCACGAATTTTCGACCGGCCAAAAAATTTCGACCAGACATATTCTGCGTTCACGTCGTTTTCGACCACTACATTGAAATGTCCATCAAAGCCGGTGAGCGATCAAGGAGTGCACGTCAAGTGTACTGGAAGTACACATTGGTGGACCTTCGACGCTAGTACCCAGGAAATGGGCCAAGTACATTAACAACCCTAAGAATAAGGAGAACCTGTGCGACTTCATATCAAAGTCTTTGTACAGTCTTGGCAAAGGAAGGCTCCTGGGGAACACCAAACTGATCATCGGAGGAGGATTCAAGGATGGAAAGCGATGTGTGGCTATCACGAGAGATTCTCAAGGTAATGTTGCAGATCTTACATGCAGTCATGAAGAAGTAAATACCTGGATGTTGTTTCATGCTAAGTACGCATTGAGCCCAGAAACAAGAATCATCATCCAATTACCTGAAACAGACGTTCTTGTTTTGAGTGCAGCCCACTTTGCGAGCATTACCCCGAACATACTGTGGTTCCGCACCTGTGTAAAAGATCAAATGTGCTTTGTACCAGTTCATGATGTTTGCTAGAAGCTTGGAGACAGGGTCCTTGCTACTTTACTAGCCTTTCATGCTCTCACGGAATGTGACAACAACAATTCAATCTCAGGGATTGGTAAGACAAAAGCATGGAAAGCAATGACTCGAAGCCAAGGGCATCAGGGAGGTCTCCTGGGACAAGAAAAAGAAGCAGACGAAGAGACACTTAGAAAGTGCAAAGCATTTCTTTGTGACATCTATCCAACCTCAAAGAAGAGACCGCAGACTGCTGATGAGCTTAGACATATCACGTTCTGTCAAAAGAAACAGAAGAATGAGACCCTTCCACCAACTTCTAATAGTGTGCAACAACACAACCACCGTGTCAACAATCAGATACACATCTGGAGATGCTCCCTTGATAGCTTGCAACAAATACCTTCCCCAGTGGGACATGGATGGGTAATAAAAGATGGGGAGCTGAAACCACAGTTTATGACGAAGGATCCCACATCCAGCAGTTTACCGGAGCTGACAACTTGCGCTTGCAAGAAGTCTGAGTGTCGGTCCAATTGTTCTTACGCCAATGTCGGTCTTTCCGGCACCGAGACCTCCGTTTGTATGACAGAGGAAACATGCTACAATCCACACGGGATATAATGGGAGGAAGATGATGTCAGTGACTTTGACTGTGACGATTGAACAATGAAACTTTTAAGTCTCTGTCTGATAGATTTGCACTGTTCCTTAATTAACAAAGTAGCAAATTTCAGTGCAAGTATATCAAATTTATTTCATATTCAGTTGTAAATTGCTCCATGAAGTATTTGTAATATGTTATGTGTGAGACTCATCGCGATGTAGCCCATAATACAAAAATATGAGTAGAGTCTCAGGTTGTTAATTAAAAAAATTTCCCCCTTGCCGATCTTA